AAGAAAATCTGAATGCAAAGTATAATAAGAAAGTTTCAAATGATAACCTTTTTGGCATCAAGATCTAGAACCTCCTTTGGGATATCATTATAACCCTGTGAAAACAAGAAAATGTTCAGTCCAATTGCAAAACCAATATTCTAAGTAGTCAAATTAATTCAGGAAAAAACAATGATGGTTTGGTAATGCAATATTCATTACCTCTAGCTTCTCATCCCAATCTTTTGGCTGTCATCAACATATAGTAGAGTCATTAATAAAATAAATTAAAAAACATTGAAGACCTAATTAGTATCTAGGCAGAATAAGAAATTATCTTGCTGGCTCAGGGTCTTAGATTTTCTTTGGTGGAAAAAGGCCCCTATCAGAGTACAAACTACTAGTTTGGTTGTCCACATTGTCGGTAAGGATTTTGTAGGTAAGCATTAGGAGGACGTCAACTCGGACAGATCAAACAATAGTACCAACAATATTATTAAGTGATTCATTCCATTGTATGTAGGAATAACATGTTATTTTCAATAATATAATAGAAAGCTATAATCTATTCAAACATGCAATCTAACAATATTACCAACTACCATTCCCATACCTAATAGAATAAGAACCCTAGATCTAGATCCAGCTATGTCAAATATAAATCGACGATACAGTCTAGTAGGGTGCGATGAATACATAGCCCTTCTAAAATGATATAGAACGGAGTTGGATGGGCTTGGTCGGAGACTGATTTTCCTTGGCAATCATTTTTTTGAATTCAATTAAGGGACAACAGATGTGATTGGCTAACGTAGGGCTGACATTGTTGAGTGTGGCCAAGGGATTTGTAGGGCAATTGAGTTGTTTGGTGGAGAGATAAAATGGGTGGTGGGCCAGTTACGCAAGGCTTCTAAGAGGGCTATCGCCGTTGGACGTTTCTTGGGTGGGTGGCGGAGTATGACTGTTTGGCTTTGGTTAGAGGAGGATAGGGTTGTGATCTAGATGGTGGTGCAGATAGATGATCACCGAAATCAGATTTTCTTCCCACAATCTTCTTTTGGGGATAGATGGGAAAGGGGCTTTGTTGTTGGAAAGATTTGCTATTGGGAATGGATGGGTAAAGCGAGGGGGTGGAGTTCGTGAGAGCAAAAGGAGAGCATGGCCAATTGGAGGGGCTATGGTGATTCATGGGGCTGGTGGTTGTGATGTGGAGGTTCAGGAGGGGTCTGAGGCAACCTAGGTTTCGTTTTTGGACTCGTTCTTTGTGGGACTAGTGGGCTGGATGGGGAAAAAAGAATGGAGGTGTTACGAATGTCGAAGTAGGCAAATTGATTGTGGAAGTTCCCAAGAGGGGTGCAGGTGGTGGCGAGTGGTGGTCAATTTGTGCTTTTCGCCTTTTTGACTAGAGATGATGCTGCAAGGATTTTAACTAGTCGTTGGGTGGTTGAAGGCCGACCATTGTTGTTGGATTGGTGATTGCCAGCAGTGTTGTGTGTGAGGGGTCGTAATCCTCTACTAAAGTAGAGTAATTGGGTTCAGTTCTTGGGGCTGTCAGTTCATCTTCGAGGGGAATAGGTATTTCGGGATTGGAGATCGATACAGTGGCTTTTTAAAGGTAGATGGTGCGACATTGAATATGGAATCTATAGGGTGTGTTTGAATTAGAGTCCGTGCTTCTGCAGCTGGTGTTCCAATGGGAATCAGTGTTCGCTGGGGCCAATGGAGGTATACCTTACTTGTTTGGTCAGAAGAAGGCTCGGTGGTGGAAGAATGGAGGTTGTCGGAGGTAGGCAAGCTTCGTGGGGTGAGAATGGTCTTCAGTGATATATGATTAACGTGATTTCAGGCATGATTTCACATGGGCCTCCTCAAGTATGGAAACCAAAAGTTTTTGAGCAGAGGAGATTGCATTTGGGTAAACAAAGGGTGAGGGTTAATAAGGTTTTTGGGCCTGCTATTAATAGGCTCAAAGACTTTTCTTTGGGTCTTGTGCCAAATAGAAGTGGTTTAGGCCAAGTAAATGAAGCTGAAATGGCTATGCGAAATGTGGGCTCGATGCCTCAAGGCCTAAGAAAGCAGACTAGGTCAAACCCACCAGTGTCATATATCTTTTACTCTTTATGCCAAGGCTTGGACTCAAGTTTGGTGGGTCGGGTCATCGAGACAGGTGGACATGTGGGCAATCAGGTCGTCAATCCAGTTGAGTTTAGGGCTGATCGATTTGATGGGCCATTCTCATCGAAGAAGGCAGACCTTGTCGATTCAGTGGTCAATGTGGCTAACCAAGGATTGGATGACGATGGTGTATGTGATCATGATTGTTTGGAGGGTGCTGAGTTTCGACAAGGGGTTGAGGTGTTTCGACAAGAGGCGGAGGAGGAGGTGTTTCGGCAGGAGAAAGTGGAGAAATTTGTCTTGGGCTGATAATATCGATAGAGGGAGTTGGGTATGAGGGGCGAGAGTTGTCTTTGCTGGTGAAGCCTTTGGCAATGGTTGCTGATGATGAGTTTCAGGGTGATACTTCGTTTCAAATAGAGGAAGACATGGGCAGAGATTAACGGCTTGATAGGGAGGAGGTGCCTTTGACAGAAAAAGTTTCAAAAGGAAACTATAACTAATGACAGCTAAGTAGAATCACAATCACAAAGATATTATTCTAACACAATCACAAAGATTTTATTCTAACATAAAACTGGTCTATGCAATTGGAGGATGATATATTTAAGGGTTTTTTTTAATGACTCCACTATTTATTGATGACAGCCAAAAGATTGGGATGAAAAGCTAGAGGTAATGAATATTGCATTACCAAACCATCTTTGTTTTTTCCTGAATTCATTTGACTACTTAGAATATTGGTTTTGCAGTTGGACTGTAACATTTTCTTGTTTTCACAGGGTTATGATGATATCCCAAAGGAGGTTCTAGATCCTGATGCCAAGAAGGTTATCGTTTAAAATTTTCTTGTTATACTTTGCATTCAGATTTTCTTTTACTTTGTTTATTAGCAAAATGCTATCAAATTGGTCTATGCATTTGGAGGATGATATATTTAAGGTTGATCAACCAAAAGACTTTTTTTTTACTTTCTCTATTGGTATTATGGGTGAGTACTTCTACTTATAGTTTTTTGGAAGACCTGTGAATCCTTTCTGGATTTATGCTTTTGTTCTCAATTTAAAGCCCTCAATTCCAATCATTTTGGTAGAATCGTTACTGATTTTGTGCTTTTAGTTTTTAGAGTTTTTTAGTTTGATAGAATCCATTTTTTTTTAATAAAAAAAATCATTAAAAGAAAGCAATTGTCACAACTCAAATTCAAACATGACCATAAAAGAAAGGCTGTCAAGTTGACAGAGATGGTAATTGGAGATGTGTTATGCATGTGTATATATAGGCATGAATTTTAGTTTGATAAATTGTTTTGTGTTGACTTGGCCATGGTTTGAACTTAATTAACTACTATGGTCTATAATCAAATGTAAACTTGGAGGCCAATCATGATTTTATTTTATTAACAAGTTTTCATGGTCTGTGGTTTGCTTGATTAACATAGTCTTCCAATTGCAGCAGTAGACTACCAATTCATGGTCACTTTAGATTTTTAACCTTCTCCCTGTCCTTTCTTTATGAATCCCCTAAACCTCTCTCCCTCTCTCCTTGTTTGAGAGAAGGAACAAACAACCTTAGTTATAGGTTTCTCTAAGATTTTATTCTTCAAGTAGAATCAACATATCGCTTTCAGAGCTTGTGATGCACTCTCTCTCTCTCTCTCGTTTTCTTGTTGTTGTTGTTCCCTGAATAATTGCTTTTTAATTATTTGGTTTTATTGTGTTCACAGAGTTAGTTAATAAACAATCCTCTGGTTATATCAACTGTTAATAATTATAATTCTTATGAATGTGCCTATGTATGTTTGAGATATTTGTCTGTGTAGAAAGGTCTATAGTGTAGAATTAGGTGTTATCCCTGCTGGGCCGACTTAGTGAAATCGTTCCAAACCACCTCCTTTCAAGAACTGGATTGGCTAATAATGAGTTTGCTCAGTTCATCACTTTAGTCAAATATCTGTAATAATTTCTGCAATTGTTAGGGTTAATTTTGAAAATTTTCAAACCCTTTTATGGGTCAATAACAACAATTTTTTTTTTTTTTTTTCTGCTTTTGCAGCCTAGCATGTGAATCCAAGATTTAAACTTTAAGAAGAACCATTGAAGTTAACATTGTTGGAAGAATTGTATAAAATGGAAACTGACAATCTATACCACTCCTATAGGCATGCTCTAAGTAAATTTCTTTTGAAGTACTGGATGTTCTTTCACTACAACAAAAAACACATTTGACGACCCAAAAATTTGTCGCCAAAAGTACAAATTTCGTCGCTAAAAGAATCGATGACAAAGTACAAATTGGTCGCCAAAGCCCTGTCATTAAAAGTATTAGTGACGAAATCAGAAATTGTCATCGTATATAGACATTTAGCGACAAGCAAAATTGGTCACTAAAAATCATATATTTTGTCGCTATAAAATTACAATTTGTTGCTAAAAGGTTAAAATTTGGATTGGCTATGTAGTTTTAGCGACAAATAAATGCATCGCCAAAAGTACTATTTAACAACAAAATTAATTTGGTCGCTAAAAATCACGTTTTTAGTGATGAGTAAGTTTTGGTTGCTAAAAGTTCTTGGAATAACCACTAACTTTTAGCGACAAAAACAATATGTTGTCGCCAAATATATTAACAGCGACAAAAACACCACCTGTCACTAAAAATTCACTACACAAATTTTGATTTTAATAATTTTCCTGTTCAAAATAATCCAAAACACCTGTTTTCCTGTGCACACTATATACACAAATGTAATGTAAATAATAATACACCTGTGCAAGACATTCATACTAATTCAAAATTAATAGCTATGAAAAATCCCAATAAACATAATTACAATTCTCTGACAATCTAAAACATGCATACCAAAGTACTTACAAACTACTAACATCAAACCCATAAATACATTATCAAATCCTATGTCAAAATATTTTCAAAAACACAAAATTAAATATTTTGATGCTAAACATTTAATCCATAAATCATTTATCAAAATCCTATGTCAAAATATTTCCAAAAACACAAAATCAAATCTTCTGATGCAGCCCGAACTGTTTTCCACCATTGCCAATCTATCACATGGAAAAAGAAAAAACAAATTTTAGATTGACAAAAAAAAAGAAAAAAAAAATCGATATGAATTTCACAATTTTGATTTTAATTTTGTAACGGGAAGTCCAATCGGATGCTGTTTGCTCATACAAGTCTATTTAGGCTTGAACAAGTTGCCCGTGCCAAGTTTCGGCGGTTTCAGTGGTCATTTTGCAATTTCGGCCCCTGAACGGGCCTTTTAAGTCTTATGTTTTACATTTTTTCTTGTAATTTTCTAACTGGAAATCCAATCGAGGTCCCGTTTGTTCCTACAAGTCTATTTAGGCTTCAAAAGGCTGTCCGTGCCAAGTTTCGGTGGTCATTTCGAAATTTCGGCCCTCGAACGGGCATTTTAAGTCTTGTGTTTTACATTTTTTCTTGCAATTTTCTAACCGGAAATCCAATCGAGGTCCCGTTTGTTCCTACAAGTCTATTTAGGTTTGAACAAGCTGTCCGTGCTAAGTTTCAGTGATTTCGGTGGTCATTTCGCAATTTCGGCCCCCGAACGGGACTTCTAAGTCTTGTATTTTACAATTTTCTTTCTAATTTTCAAACCGGGGATCCAATCAAGGTCCCGTTTGTTTCTACAAGTCTATTTAGGCTTGAACAAGCCGTCCGTGCCAAGTTTCGGTGGTTTCAGTGGTCATTTCGCAATTTCAGCCCCTGAACGAACATTTTAAGTCTTGTGTTTTACAATTTTCCTTCTAATTTTCGAACCGAAGATCCAATCGAGGTCCCGTTTGTTCCTACAAGTCTATTTAGGCTTGAACAAGCTGTCCGTGCCAAGTTTCGGTGGTCATTTCGCAATTTCGACTCCCGAATGAGCATTTTAAGTCTTGTGTTTTACAATCTTCCTTCAAATTTTCTAACCGGGGATCCAATCGAGGTCCCATTTGTTCCTACAAGTCTATTTAGGCTTGAAAAAGCTGTCCGTGCCAAGTTTCGGTGGTCATTTCACAATTTTGGCCACCGAACGGGCCTTTTTGGTCTTATGTTTTACAATTTTCCTTTTAATTTTCTAACCGGAGATCCAATAGAGGTCCCGTTTGTTCCTACAAGTCTATTTAGGCTTCAAAAGGCTATCCGTGCCAAGTTTCGGTGGTTTCAGTGATCATTTCAAAATTTCGGCCCCTGAACGGGCCTTTTAAGCCTTGTGTTTTACATTTTTCCGTATAATTTTTTAACCGGAAATGCAATCAAGGTCCCGTTTGTTCCTACAAGTCTGTTTTAGATTGAAAAAGCTGTCCGTGCCAAGTTTCGGTGGTCGTTTCGCAATTTCGGCCCCCGAGCGGGCCTTTTTAGTCTTGTGTTTTACAACTTTCCTTCTCATTTTCTAACCAGAGATCCAATAGAAATCTGTTTGTTCCTACAAGTCTATTTAGGCTTCAAAAGGTTGTCCGTGCCAAGTTTCGGTGGTCATTTCGAAATTTCGGCCCCCAAACGGGCCTTTTAAGTCTTGTGTTTTACATTTTTCCTTGTAATTTTCTAACTGGAAATCCAATCAAGGTCCCCTTTTTTTCTACAAGTCTATTTAAGTTTGAACAAGCTGTCCGTGCCGAGTTTTGGTGGTTTCGGTGGTCATTTCGCAATTTCAGCCCTCGAACACGCCTTTTAAGTCTTGTGTTTTACAATTTTCCTTCTAATTTTCTAACCGGGGATCCAATCAAGGTCCCGTTTGTTCCTACAAGTCTATTTAGGCTTGAACAAGCTGTCCGTGCCAAGTTTCGGTGGTTTCAGTGGTCATTTCGCAATTTCGGCCGCTGAACGGGCATTTTAAATCTTGTGTTTTACAATTTTTCTTCTAATTTTCTAACCGGAGATCCAATCGAGGTCCCATTTGTTCCTACAAGTCTATTTAGGCTTGAACAAGCTGTCCGTGCCTAGTTTCGGTGGTCATTTCGCAATTTCGGCCCCCGAATGGGCATTTTAAGTCTTGTGTTTTACAATTTTCCTTCTAATTTTCTCACCGGAGATCCAATCGAGGTCCCGTATGTTCCTACAAGTCTATTTAGGCTTGAACAAGCTGTCTGTGCTAAGTTTCGGTAGTTTCGGTGGTCATTTCGCAATTTCAGCCCCCGAACAGGCCTTTTTAGTCTTGTGTTTTATAATTTTCCTTCTAATTTTCTAACCGGAGATCCAATCGAGGTCCCGTTTGTTCCTACAAGTCTATTTAGGCTTGAATAAGCTGTCCGTGCCTAGTTTCGGTGGTCATTTCGCAATTTCGGCCCCCGAATGGGCATTTTAAGTCTTGCGTTTTACAATTTTCCTTCTAATTTTCTCACCAGGGATCCAATCGAGGTCCCGTTTGTTCCTACAAGTCTATTTAGACTTGAACAAGCTGTCTGTGCCAAGTTTCGGTAGTTTCGGTGGTCATTTCGCAATTTCAGACCCCGAACGGGCCTTTTTAGTCTTGTGTTTTACAATTTTCCTTTTAATTTTCTAACCGGAGATCCAATAGAGGTCCTGTTTGTTCCCACAAGCCTATTTAGGCTTTAAAAGGCTATCCGTGCGAAGTTTCAGTGGTTTCAGTGATCATTTCGAAATTTCGGCCCCTAAACAGGCCTTTTAAGCCTTGTGTTTTACATTTTTCCTTATAATTTTTTAACCGGAAATGCAATCAAGGTCCCGTTTGTTCCTACAAGTCTGTTTAGGCTTGAAAAAGCTGTCCGTGCCAAGTTTCGGTGGTCATTTTGCAATTTCGGCCCCTGAGCGGGCCTTTTTAGTCTCGTGTTTTACAGCTTTCCTTCTAATTTTCTAACCGGAGATCCAATAGAGGTCCGTTTGTTCCTACAAGTCTATTTAGGCTTCAAAAGGTTGTCCGTGCCAAGTTTCGGTGGTCATTTCGAAATTTCGGCCCCCAAACGGGTCTTTTTAGCCTTGTGTTTTACATTTTTCCTTCTAATTTTTTAATCGGAAATGCAATCGAGGTCCTAGTTTGTTCCTACAAGTCTATTTAGGCTTGAAAAAGCTGTCCGTGCCAAGTTTCGGTAGTTTCAGTGGTCATTTCGCAATTTCGGCCCCCGAACGGGCCTTTTTAGTCTTGTGTTTTACAACTTTCCTTCTAATTTTCTAACCAGAGATCCAATACATATCCCGTTATTTCCTACAAGTCTATTTAGGCTTCAAAAGGCTGTCCGTGCCAAGTTTCGGTGGTTTCGGTGGTCATTTCAAAATTTTGGCCCCTAAACAGGCATTTTAAGTCTTGTGTTTTACAATTTTCCTTCTAATTTTCTAACCGGAGATCCAATAGAGGTCCTGTTTATTCCTACAAGTCTATTTACTAACATCGCAGCACAGCCTTACTATGATTAAAATAAGTGATTAAAATATGAGATTTCTCATATATAGTTCTAAGAGCATACCAACATCAACATAGATCCTCTTTGCTGCAGCCTTGATCTGTTATGTAGATGGAAAAAAGATAACAAGAAAATGCAATAGGTTGTCAAGTTTTTGTACAATAAGAATATGAAAGCGAAGCTAAGTTTCTAACTACCTAATTAAAAAGTGAAGCTAAGAGGCATGTCAACCAAAGTTGAGTTCAACCATCCATACCTTGAGTTCAAAAGTTTCTTTAGAAACTGTAGATGGAAAACTATTAAGAGGCATGTCAACCAAAGTTGTTAACCCACCTAGGGCAAACAAAAAATTGAAGACAGCAGTTAAGAGAAATAGCTTGAAGAAGAAAATTCTGCAAGTGAGAAAATGGGTAAAGTTCAACTTTGCGTGAGTATTTTTAACGCTGACGGATCCTCTTGCAGTGCTTTTATGAACTATTACAACAAAACATAAATAATAAACTAAATTTTAATTTTATTTTTATTTTTACGATTAATTATAACTTCAAAGAAGCATTTCTTACCCTTGACATTAAAGCAAAATCAAGTAAAATTAGAGTATCTTCACAAAAGAAACCAAGACACCACACATCAAATACCATAAAGAAACCAAGACACCACACATCAAATACCATAAAGAAACCAAGACACCACACATCAAATACCATAAAGAAACCAAGACACCACACATCAAATACCATAAAGAAACCAAGACACCACACATCAAATACCATAAAGAAACCAAGACACCACACATCAAATACCATAAAGAAACCAAGACACCACACATCAAATACCATAAAGAAACCAAGACACCACACATCAAATACCATAAAGAAACCAAGACACCACACATCAAATACCATAAAGAAACCAAGACACCACACATCAAATACCATAAAGAAACCAAGACACCACACATCAAATACCATAAAGAAACCAAGACACCACACATCAAATACCATAAAGAAACCAAGACACCACACATCAAATACCATAAAGAAACCAAGACACCACACATCAAATACCATAAAGAAACCAAGACACCACACATCAAATACCATAAAGAAACCAAGACACCACACATCAAATACCATAAAGAAACCAAGACACCACACATCAAATACCATAAAGAAACCAAGACACCACACATCAAATACCATAAAGAAACCAAGACACCACACATCAAATACCATAAAGAAACCAAGACACCACACATCAAATACCATAAAGAAACCAAGACACCACACATCAAATACCATAAAGAAACCAAGACACCACACATCAAATACCATAAAGAAACCAAGACACCACACATCAAATACCATAAAGAAACCAAGACACCACACATCAAATACCATAAAGAAACCAAGACACCACACATCAAATACCATAAAGAAACCAAGACACCACACATCAAATACCATAAAGAAACCAAGACACCACACATCAAATACCATAAGGACAATAATATGCAAAAAGTCACAAGTAAGCTGAACTGATAAAACAGAAAACCAGTAAGAAAAAGAACAATTTGCAACCCAAGCATCACATCTTTATAGTTATATTTGTTTTACTAACACAAAGATACGAGAGAAAACAACAAATGAAGCTTCAGGTGCATTTGTGCTAATGCCAAATACTAATGCACCCAAAGAAGGCTTCAAAATAATTTGGAAGGCATACAACATGCAGTGGAATTCAAAAGAAAAATTACAAGTCAACAGGATAAATGTTAAATAAGACCTGGAAGAAGGTAATGAAGATAGAAGTGGAGCTGAATGAAAGGAAAGTATATCTAATATTCAAATAAATAATACTACAAAGGGGGAATAGCCAATAAGAAAGTGCACAGGATCTGCCACATTCTGGTTTTAAGAAACTTACATTCAGATTCTCCCTCACTTTTATCATCACTCTCAACTTCCCATTCAGTAGATACAGCGTCAGAATCTGCTGCATTGATGAAACTGAAACTAGTAAAAAAATGATTAACAGTAGAGCTAGGACACAAGCACAAACAAAGACAGGATACAACATGTGACACGCCAACATGGATATTTCATAAAATGCAAGACATGAGACCAAATACCTTAGTAGCTCACATGGAGTCTCTTGCCATAGAGAATAAGAAATTGGTTAGCATCGCTGTCAACCAATGAACTTGAAAGAGCACATCCTATCCATTAAGAATGCCATTTTTAAATACCAAATGAAATCCAACAAGAAATAGATTCATATCGAATAGTGTTACAAATATCTAGATGCACAAGAGTCAAAAAAAGAGCTCATCTCTAGTAGATATCATGCCCGTCTGTAATAACCTAAAACCTGCCCACATCTTATTTACCTCCTGCACACATTAAACTAACATTTATATCTCAAGATTGTTGACACAGATTTAATCAATCAATCAACCAAACAGAGGAAGAAACACAAACAGGACAGCCAAAGGCCTCATTTTAAAAGACAACAGATCCAAAGATCAAAAATCTGAAGAGACCATGTCACAAACAGATCTGGGTAACCCATTTTTGGGCCCCACAAAAATGGATGACCCAAATCTATTCAACACTTACAAGAGCTAAGTACAAACAAAACAATCCCAAAATCCCTCTCTGAGACCTTGCCACAAGCAAGTCCAGTGCATAACCAGAAACTTGTCAAAACCGCAGCAACACAAAAACTATGATGCTTGGATCATGAAGCAAACACAAACCCGCTTATCCTGAGCCTGATGCCTACAACCAACATCGCATTATAGTAAAAAAAAGAAAAAAAAAAAAAAAAATCAAGGATTCTCATGTTCTTCCTTCAAGACAAAAAGGAATATTCTGAATGTAAAGAAAACAAGTTCTTTCCCAGTGGCTTTCCAATAGCCAGATTCAGTTGCTCTCTTACTTTGTGAGCCATTTGGGTACTTCCTTCCACGAGAAGAAAAGAAGAACCACTCATTCTCTGAAGGAATGACTGATTTAGCTGGCAATATATACAAATCACTAACCATCCTCTGTACACAATAAATAGGACTTTATATTCTTCAAACACAAAATAATGTATTAAAGCATGTGAACCACAAAATAAATACAAACAATGGCACTTAATACCCATAAAACAGTGAAAGTAAGGCATAATATCCATAAGCTAATGCATAATTACATCTACAAACATATCATTTTGTCCTATAGAAACCTTACCACATGGGACACATATAGATATAATGAAAATTTTGAGTCAATGTCATCATAAATAATTCTTATTAATATAAGTTGTAAAAGTGCATATTAGTATAAGTCTTATTAATATTAGTTCTCAAGTACACTGCTTCACATTACTCACTGAAACCAAACTAGGGCAGGGGATGCCCTTCAAACTAACATAAGAAAAAATGAAAGTATAGACAATAGCTAGATACATAGGTGAAATAACCAAACCATTCACCAAAATCCCAAGAATGGTGAGAGAGGTAACGGTCTGCTAAGAAGAATAAAAAAAAACAGAGTTCTAACTTTTTCTAAGAATGGTGAAGATCTTCCAAGTTCCAATCTAGAAAAAAAGGGGGAAAACTTAGGGTTTTGGTTCGGGACCTTGAAATCGTCATGAGAGAGAGAGAGGGAGATTGACAGATTGAGATAGCATTTGTAGAGTGAGAGGCCTATGCCCATCTGTAGAGGGAGATGGACAATACAATGGGTTCTCAGTCCTAGTTAATTGCATTACAACATACATAAATAGGATAATTTTGGTACAAACAACACAATGGGTTCACTCACAAGATCACTCCATGCTTGAAGAAAAATCAATCAATTTCAAATTCATTGTTGATAAAAGTGCATTTAGTTAACAATTTAAAAGAGCAACATATTCCAATAAAAGGGGGAAAAAATTTAAAAGACATTTTAATATATATTTAAAAGACAGATTTTAATATATATATAAATCGTTCAAGACAGATTTTAGGACTACAATCTATCATATACTCATATATATATATATATAATATATCTGTCTTCAAAATATCAGAGAGAGAGAAGTGAATGCCGTCGTGAAAATCAATCGGTGGAGAGAGAGAGCGAGAGGAAGAGAGACGAAGACGAAAAGGAGGAGGAGGAGGAGCGGTGTGAGAGTGAGAGGTGAGGGGGAGACTGGCCAGAGGAGACATACCTCTGTTTTGCGCCGCTTGAGGCTGTGGATTGAGAAAGAGTGAGAGTGAAAGGGAGAGAGAGAGTTAGAGCTTATTTGTTTATTCAGTAAAAGGGTCGGTCCAGTCTTTAACAAAAAAAAAAATATTGAAAAATACAAAACGACGTAGTTTCGTTTGCTAAGTTATTGGCGACAAAAATCCTTCGGTCGCCATAAGTACCGTTCATCTTTTCCGCGACTATTTCATTTCTGTCGCCAAAACTTTACAATCGGCGACCAAAATTTCGTCGCTATATGTTAATATGGTCGCGAAAATATTTTTGGCGCTCCCGCCCAAAAAATTAATTTGGCGCCAAACCTTTTAGCGACTAAAAATCTTAACTCGTCGCCAATAGTGTAATTTTTGGCGACTTAACAATTAAATTGTCGCCGATTACATAAAACTGGCGACTAATTTCAGTTTGGTTGCTAAAAAATGTCGCCAAAATGTTTTTTGTTGTAGTGTTTCATTATTTTTTTCACTGAAGGATTGGGCAATTAATGATAATGCAATGATGTACATATTCTTTCCTTTTTTTGGTGAGCATGCCTCTTCCTAATATCTTCAAAGGAAAAAAAGAAAAAAAAAATCAAGTAACTTCATGGTGACATCACGACATGTGAGCCAAAGAAGTTCAAAACAGAGAGAGAGCTGTGATGAAAGAGCAAGTTGCATTACATGTATAAAACTAGGATTGTTGGATGGCAAACTAGAAGAGAATGATAATATGACTTCAACTTCATCAAGTAATGAAAGAAAACACTCAAGGAATGTGATGATGTTTGATAGTAACAAAAACTCCCCTTCCCTAGCTGTTATATATATTTAATTATTTATACATGTACATAACTTTTGACAAGTTATGTAGGAAAAAAAATGAATATTTAACAACCTTAATTTAAATCGCTTTAGTGTTTGTTTGATTCAACATGACTTGGATGGCAAAGCATACATTAATATGATCTTTTGTGGGCATGGTCCCCAAAACAGGCATTTGTACAGCTTAAATCACCTGTAATATGAATAGAATGGGTGCCAACAACCATAGTTGACCGTCGACTCCAGCAGTTTCTCCCCAAACAACGTCCAGTCTCCTAGCCTGCAATTAACAACGGGATCAAATGGTAAGAGTCATCCCAGACCTGCAGAGGAGAACAATTGCAATAAACATTATATGCCCACCAAAAAAAAGTTCCATCTGTATTTCGGTGGGCCATAAAAAACTAACACAGATCGGCTAGAAGACAAAAACATGGTTATTCCAACCAGCAGAAGCAAAAGAACTCATTGAAGCTCTGCAAACCATGCAGGACGACAAGGTTTCACAAAGAGCACACAACCAAGTGCAGACACACACACAAAGTAGACTGCAGAAAGAACTGAAGATAATAAAGGCAAAAATGAAGCATGCACAAAAATTCGTTGGTGAAAGGAGTTTTTTTTTTTTTTTCTTTTCAATTACACCTTGCCGAGTGCAATATGTGTACAAAGCCTTTGCCGTTGATATCTATTTTGTAGAAGCATTGCAACTCCTTGCATGATAGCCCATTGAAGGAACAATTGCACCCCTCTCCGCACAGTACATGTACAGTCTCACTCATTAAAAAAAAAAAAAAAAACAAAAACAAAAACAAAATTTCAATATGCACTTAAGAAGGATAATAACCTGCTTCTGGGTCTCTCAAGTGAGACTGATAAGTGCCATGGCCATAGCGAAGTAGTGATGTTTTATCCACCTACATCAGCACAAGTGCAAGCATTAACATATTCTGTGGTTGTATGCATATTAATCTAGGAGGCAGATAAGAATCACAAAAAAAAATCCAATACATTTTCACATTTTCATCCAAGTTCTAACACAATTCGAAAAATAAAGAGAATGAGCCTGCCAGTTGAATAAAAAGCATGATATGAGTCCAGTAATATTGAACATGGCCGAAATTCGCTGGAATTAGAATGTAGTTGCTGCTGCTGCATATAAGAGAACAAGATACTGCCAGAAAAACTCAATTTAACAAAATTAAACATGTCTATTTGGAGTCAACTCAATGAATTCTTTTGCAACATGCAGCTCCATCTAGAGTAATATCCTCCTTTCATTATTGACAACCATTATTTTTTTCATATACTCTACCCTCTGTTCATTTTCTAATTCATTGCAATGTGCAGTTTGACAACACACAGTGTATAAATTCATTTACTGAATATCATGCTATAATTTTAAGCATTGAAGTCAAAAGATTCTTCTGGCAACTCTATTTTATAGCATAAATTCATTGCCAGTAAAATTGCATATTCACTTTCCCTCCTGAAAGGCATGGGAGATGAAATTACTAATGTCTGACTATGAAAATATGTTTTAAAAAAATCTCAATCACAAATACACAAATAGTTTAAATGATGAAGAATAAATGCAAGGCAATCTTAGCACAAAATTCAACTAAATGCATATAAGATCATATCAAATTACCATGGGCGAATATCACTTCCATTCACTCTAAGTATGTTCTCTCGCAAAGCCAAACCTGTGTAGAGAATTAACAACCATGCCTGAAAAACAAACTTACTTGGTAAGTCAACGAGAGATGGAAATAGCTGAACAAATGACCCAAGAGACATCAATGCTGGAAACACACTTAGAAACGATTTTTCAAATCTGCATCAAAAAAGAAAACAAAAAAAAAATATATGTATGAAAGTCAGTAATGCCCTTCACTGCAGATTGAGTCCACAGTATCTCCGAAAGCATTCTTTTAGATCCTCCTTTTTGAAATTAAACATATGTGTTTAGTTGTCAAAATTTCCGTTAGGCTCAATTAGTTTCAGTACGAAATTACAATACCATATTTTGTTCCAACAAGGTCGGGAAGGTGCATAATAACTTTAAACATACAAAATAAGATGTGGCACCACATAAGCAACAAAATTTATTTCTGAAGTAGCATTGACAGGACAAAAATAAAATAAAACTACAATTATGGATACCAATATATGAAGGGTCTTGTTAACAAGTGTCCCGGGGACACAAAAAGTAGACCCAAATTTTTTATTTGAAAACACAAGACACTTTTTATTAAATTCAATGCAGTTTTTATGGAAATTAATGCACTTCTTTAACTGTTTGACCTATTTTCAAGACACTCCTTTATTTCAATTCCAATATCCAGCATTTTTGGCATTTGTCATATACAAATATCTCGAGGACACAACAATTGCACGAATTATAACTAAGATCATTCCAATAAAATAAATTAAATATATCTTTTAAGAACAGAACCAAAAAGATAACATGAGGAACTTAGCATTAATGGGAAAAACTACAAATGCAAGACTGATGTTAGAGGAGGATAAGTTACCAAAATATTTGATATACATGTTGCATACTTCTTTTCTACTTCTAAATCTAAAAATTCAGTCAAATAAAGAAACTAAACCCCAAGCAAAGAATCATGCCAATTTCAAATCATACCTGAGGGAGAAATGTAAGGAAATTAGTTAAAAGTTTTCTCTTGTTAAGATTCCGAAAGTCCAGTGTAGCTTCAGCAACAACAGGGTCTAAAAGTTCACTGCAATGAAACATTGGAAGAGTGATTTTCAAATACGATTTATCATATGATATGCCATCATAAATAGAGAATAATTGTTAGATGAAATCATAATTTCTTTTTTTCCCCATAAATAACTTATTGTGAAAGGACTATAAACATCTTTACCAGCTCAAACATGAATGAATGAATAGGGTCTTTTAATTCGATGGACTCCTCTCCTCTTTAGGTGGGAAATTCTCCAAAACTGGTTTAAGACGTTGGCCAATCACTTTAAAAACATTACCATTCTTGGGATTTTCAATCTGGGCCCCATGAGAAAAAACAGTTTTAACTATGAAACGGCCCAGTCCATCTAGATCTCAATTTACCAGGAAACAAATGTAGTCTAGTTTTATACAAAAGAACCTTTTGTGAAGGATTAACAATTCCTGTGAGTACAAACAATATTAACATTAAAAACATATCATATACAATGACACGGGGAGGACTAGTCAATCAACTAGATGCCCTTTTTTCTTCCAAAACAGCACACCTTTTATGCTCCCTTATCGACAAAAATATGCAATCCTGCCTTTAGGCAATAGAAATATTATCCTTTATTCGATGAAAAGCTACAAATACAAGACCCTTGTGAGTAAAAAGGTATACATCTTATGTAGAGGGGTAGAAAATTAAGATAAAAATTACCATTTGTTTTGCTGAATTCGAGCAGCCCGAGCACCCTTGACAACATTGCGGTCAAATCTAGCGTTTTTGCTATTATCTAAGTCACCAAATATATATTTCATAAAAGGAACAAATAAAGAACAGAAGACGGGTAGTAATTAAAAGGAAAAACAAATAAGTATTTGAAGACCAAAATCAAAATATTAAAGGACTGGAGGTACAATGAAATCTTGACTAACCTTTGAGAGAGGTTTTGTGGATGTTATGAGATGATTTAGAAGCATACCGAGTCTTATGGGCCTTGTTGAGCAATTGATATTGTTGAAGGCTCAAATGTAGTTTTTCTACAAATTTAAATTAAATTCATTAAATCACAATTAAATACAAATTGAGAGAATGAATATAATATCCAAAATTCATAGAACAACTATGTAATTTTAAGCATTCATCACACCTCCCAACCAACTTTATTGCTAGAACCTAGCAATTAGGGTGACTAAAATAAAATCAAAAAGTAAAATAAAAGCAACAACTCTAAACCACTTCTGCAAGAAATCACGATTGAATTTAGCACATGCAACAAACCCTTAATCCAATAGATTACCCCTCATGGACGAGTTAAAGTCTCATGAGGGTTTCCAAAGATAGATCCTCCTTTTTGAAATTAAACATATGTGTTTAGTTGTCAAAATTTCCGTTAGGCTCAATTAGTTTCAGTACGAAATTACAATACCATAGAGTTGGGAAAAGTATCCAGGTGATGGGTGACAAGAGACGGGTCAAGACCAGGCATCTCATCGTATGTCCAAGCAAAGACGTCACTGTACCGCTTCAGTAGTGTTATCAATTCTGCCTCAGCTGTTGGAGCCATTGTGTCCCTGATGAACACGGGGCTTGCTCTGCCCTGGCAAGTCACTGAGGTTGACCTCAGCAAGCACCTCCTGCTGCGGTTTGGGTCTATCTTGCACGCATTCAGGGGCGGGCTCAAGTGTCTCCACCAACTCTTCTTGGGACTCGTCATCGTCACATTTATTTGCCTCGGGGCCTTCCTCCCAAGGTATGAAGCCTACCCTCCAAGACCCGTCTTAGGTAGTAAACTGTCTTACCGCCCTCCCGCACCTTAACAATCTTGGGCGAAGGACTTGTGGACTTGCTGCTTCTCTTCTGCCCACTACTTTCTGGAGCAGCCCCTGCATCCCGAATGCCTTTCCATTTTGGCAATTTTACTCCTGCAACTTTACCAGTCCTTCGAGTTTCAACCGTTGACAACTCAGTAAAGAAAACTGCATCCAAGTAGTGTGCCTCCTCAACCCCAAATGGTTGTTCAAACGCATTTATATGGTTACTGTGCGCTTTCCCAACTTTGCCTTCACACATTGGTGATAACTCGACAGGATAGCTCCATATCGGTGCATCCAAGCTCTGCCAAGTATCATGTGGCAATTTTGTGTCCGCTTCAATCACATGAAACTTGGTTGCGGAACAGATCTCACCAACTGCTAAGTCCATGACCACATGGCCCTTGGTATCTTTTTTCTCGCCGCCAAAACCCATCACAGTGATGGGTTGGCGAACCATCCTGGACTCAGGGATCCCAATCTTTGCAAAGGTGTCAGTAGTGATGATGTTTATGGACGCCTCGGCCATCAAGGAAAGCACGCTTGAACTCTACATCATTGATGCATGCTGTGACAAAAAGAGGACGATTATGGGGAAATGGGTATGCTCTGTCTGCCTCTAAAAAGGTAATGGCCCCATAAGCTTCCTAGATGCGCCGAGGCACATACTCCTTAGCCTCAGCAACTTCATCATGGTGCACTTCAAAGATATTAATGAGGGCTTCTGTTGCTTCCAACCCGGCGGCTTGGCTCAGCCCCAAATGGTCAAAGAAGGCGCGAAACTTAACAGAGTTTTGCAAGGCCTAGGCATTAGCATCCTTTGCGAATTTTGCCTCTGCAGGTACTGTCTCAAGGAGCTGGCCGGTTACAATTTCTTCTAACTCATCATAGTAAGACGCCATATGCACTTGATCATGCACAGGCCCGAGATAGCCAATCATATATGTATATTCTTTCCCTTCTCCTTGTGGTTAGGATAAGGGTCCTTCCGCACATGACAGTTACCGGCATCTATGAACTTCAGCTCATTTGCGTCAACTTTTTTCTTGAAGATACTTTTCAAAGTCCAACAATCCCTAATAGGGTGTCTGGTGGTTCTGTGATAGACACAATAATCCGAGCTTTCTTTGTCCTTCTTAGTTGCAGGGACATTAACTAAAGGCAAGGTAAGTTCACCATCAGCTACCTATTCTTTAACTAGAGCCTTAACATTCTCAAGGCTGCAAGAACATGGATTTCTGTCCTCATAACTCTTTCTCCTCCGAGAGGACGTCGCCTCCCCTTGCGAGCGGCTCCCTCCTGCAGAGGTTACCGCAGCAAATCTGCTACTGCGAGGGTAGCGGAGGCTGTCACGAGATCTGTGCAAGGGACCAGTGGTACTGAGGTTCCTAGCTGCCTCAATCAAGGCTGAAATGGTAGGCAGATTATGATTCACCAAGAAAATTTTGTAGTCGCGTATGGCACCCTCCACACATATGCTGACTAAATGGGCCTTATCCACTGGTTCATGACAGTCAATAGCCTTATCTTGGAGCCACTTAACATAATCCAGTATATCTTCGCCCTCCTTTTGGACATCTCGCCCAAGGGTGAGGGTTGTAACTTTCTCTTGGACTTGGAAGAACTTCGTGTGGAACTTGTTCACCATCTCCTCCCAACTCTTGATCGAGTTGGGAGCCAAGTTCACATACCAGCTGCAAGCCCTTTCAGTAAGTGGACTTGGAGAACTCCCGAAGGCGCAAAGAGTGGTCACGGCCATGGACACCAAGAGTTTCAATGAACCTCTGGCATTGCCTTGTTTCCCATCAAACTTAATAAACTTGGGCACTGTATACCCAGTTGGGTATGGCATGGTCAATATCTCCTAAGAGTATGGGGCCTTCACATCTGAGTCGGGGAGAGATGGGAGTGGCTTCTTGCTATGCTCTTGCTCGAGCATAACTTGTACATCAGCTAGAGTAAAAAAGTGAGTGGGCTGGAATGGTCCAGTCTGCTCCTAGGTAGCTGAACTAGCGGCCGCACCGTTCGCCTGAAGTACCGCCGGAGGCACCTGGATTGGAGCCCAAACCTTAGGGAACAGGTTAGGCACTGGGTTTGGGACTGCTGCGAGCGGAGTTGTTTGCACTGGAGCTGGTCGAGAAGCCATGGCCATAACAGCCTCAGTGAGAGTTTGCAAAGCTGCCAGGATCTCCCTCTGCGTGTCCTGGAGTGACTGAACTGCCTCAATCACAACACTGTGGTCACGGTCCTCCGCATGTGCTATTCCGCCATTTGAAGAGCCTTGCTGAACTTCATCCTCTGCCATTTTTTTCCAGTGAGGTATGTAAACCACTATGAGTATGAACCATCAACAAGGCAGCCACCCCAGCGGAGTCGCCAGAAATGTAAAGGGGTTCAAGGTTAGAGAAGGTAATTAGAGAGGCAAAACTATGCTAATGGTCCAAAAATAGTGGAAGTGGCTGGAGAATGAGCAGCTGCAACTGTCTGGAAGTTGGAGAGTGTGCAGCTGGGTGAGGGTGAAGCAAGTAGCTCAAGAAGAAATGTATAGCAGTGCCAAAATGGGCAACATCTACCCCAAATCCCCAAAATTCCTCTTGTTGAACCATGGGAAATAGGTCCTATTTATATAGGCTTTTCCTTGGCACCAAGAGGACACCAAGTGGCCAAATAGAGAGAGGACATGTGTCCTAGAGGATCACATGGAATATTCTACCTTGAGCCACTAGGCTGAAGGTGCCACGTGTTCTTTTGCATGTACTGTGTACTATCTGTTTGCCTCCGCAACTACCTTTTTGAGCCTCAGCAAGTGTAGTTGCGACGGGAGTGTTTGGCGCTGTAACTCCCTCTTGAGCCTGAGGAAGTGCAGTTGCAACAGGAGCGTTTGCCGCTACACTTGCCTTCTCAGCTCGAACCTCAGCAAGTGCACTCACAGCGATAAACTTTGCTACTACACTTGCCTTCTCAGCTCTACTTGGCCACTACATGCATTCTCAGAACTCCATTAATCTGCTATCGACAATGTTCGTGCTCACCGCAGCGAAGCCTTCACCCTTAGCCACCTAACCACAAACTCCCCAACTTCCCCAGGCAAAGGCCACAGCCAAGCCTGCTATCAGCCTTGCTGTTCCTTAGTACCAAGCCCAAGGGGCTTCCTTAGTCCTGCCTGTGAAACTAAGGCAGGTCTATGACCTGGGTAATGGAAAGGAAGTCCCTTATGCTAGGGCTTCCCTGCTCCCATCTTCGCGGGATCGTCGCGGTAAACTGGTACCCTGAGCCTGCTATCAACTCCAACCAATAAGTCTTGGGGCCTGCTATCAGCCTTGGGCTAGTAATGCCTTGAGGACTGCTATCAGCGCCAGGCATTACCCTCTCCTTGCAGAGGGAAAGCTTTTCCCAGAGACTGCTCTCACCTTGGCGGGATGTTCCCTCCGCAACTTGGTTGCGGCGACAGTAGTTGCTGCGGTAGTCATTTCTCGTGGCAAGTTCAAATGGCATAACCGACAATATTGGAGATGGCGGCGCCGACAAAGTGCCTCTGCAACATGGGCGCCTCTGCAACCTAGTTGCTTCGGTTCTCTTCTTCCCTCAGCAACTCCAGGTGGCGACGGAACCGAGAATACTTGGAATGGCAGCGCTAAGACAAAGTGCCTCCGCAACTTGGTCGTCGCAACTGTCACCTCTGCAACTTAGTTGCTTCGGCTTTCTCTTTCCTCATCAACTTTGGATGGCGGCGGAGCCGAAGATATTAGGAATGGCAGCGCTGAGGCAAAGTACCTCGGCAACTTCCCCGCTGCATGTATTCCCTCTGCAATTTGACTGTGGCATGTGTTCCCGCTGCAACTTGACTTCGTCATTTTCCCTCGTGGAGTCTATTTGGACCCTTGGGGGGTCGGACCTACTCCGGCCCACTGTTGGCCCACTTCCCTTGGACTTTAGCCCATGCTCCTTTTTCATTCCTGGTCGCCTCTTTGCGACGACCTCAGTACTTAGGCCCATACTTAATTTGGGGTTTAATTTCTGACCCTCTAAAAAAACAAAACGCAGTGGCTAGAAATAGTGCTAAAGCTGAATTTAGATCAATGGCTCATGGAATTTGTAAAGCTTTGTGGATCGAGAGATTATTGGAAGACTTAAAAATTCCAAGAACATCACCAATGGAAGTTTACTGTAACAAGAAGGCAGCAAATGCAATTGCTCATAATCTTGTTCTTTACAACAGAACTTAGCATGTGGAAGTCGACAAGCACTTTATCAACGAAAAGATTGAGAAGGAATTGATCTACATGTCTTATATACCCACTGCGGAGCAGATTGCAGATGTTCTTACAAAGGGACTACACAAGAAGCAGTTCGACCACCTAATCTACAAGTTGGCCATGGAAGACATATTCAAGCCAACTTGAGGGGGAGTGTTGGAAATGGGAAGAAAATAATTCTGCCAGGATATGGCTAAATTCTTTAGGATATCACAGCTGTAAATATCTAGATTTAGTCAATACTATAGAATAGGAAAGTTTATATTTAGAATTAGAATTAGTAACTAAATAGTAGCTAATCAGTCCTCAGAATCAGTAGCTAATCAATCCCTTATTTTATGCCATGTATCTCCTATTAATATAGGTGCTGTGTGTACATTGTTTAAATATGAGAATAAGAAATATTATTCTTTCTAGCTTTCATTCAAAATAATAAAATCCAATTTTCCAACTAGTACCAAGCATGTAGATTTTAAATTTCTGAACAAATTTAATTAAGGCATTTCAAAATGGCCTATTTGACTGATCAATAAATTAATGGAAGGAAAATAACACGGTGCAGCTTTTAATAGAGTAAGTAGAACTTCAATTGGCGAACAATAATGCAAGACCCCAAATGTTCTAGCAAACACTCACATGGGTGTTGGTCCCACACCCATGTGCGTGGTAGATTTTTTGGTAAATTTTTGCGTATCCCTAGGCATTTTGCTCATTGGTGAAATATGGCAAGAGATGAAAACCACAAAAGAAGGACATGAAAAGGAGCATAATGTAACTAGGGAATCCTGGAAAACAAACTCACTTGGTAAGTCAACGAGAGATGGAAATAAGCTGAACAAATGATCCAAGAGACATCAATGCTAGAAGCACACTTAGAAACGATTTTTCTGATTTGCATCAAAAAAGAAAACAGAAAAAAAATATATGTATGAAAGTCAGTAATGCCCTTCACTGCTGATTAAGTCCACAGTATCTCTGAACGCATTCTTTTAGACCCTCCTTTTTGAAATTAAACATATGTGTTTGTCAAAATTTCCATTAAGCTCAATTAGTTTCAATACGAAATTACTATACCATATTTTGTTCCAACAAGGTTAGGAAGGCGCATAATAACTTTAAACATACAAAACAAGGTGTGGCATCACATAAGCAACGAAATTTATTTCTGAAGTAGCATTGACAAGACAAAAATAAAATAAAACTACAATTATGAATACCAATATATATGAAGGGTCTTGCTAAAAAGTGCCCTGGGACACGAAAAGTAGACCAAAAAATAAATTTGAAAACACAAGACACTTCTCATTAAATTCAATGCAGTTTTTATTGAAATTAATGCACTTCTTTTAACTGTTTGACCTATTTTCAAGACACTTCCTTATTTCAATCCCAATATTCAGCACTTCTAAAATTTGTCATATACAAATATCAAGTTATAAGGACACAACAATTGCACGAATTATAACTAAGATCATTTCAATAAAATAAATGAAATATATCTTTTAAGAATGGAACCAAAAAGATGACACAAGGAACTTACTTCTCTACATTTCATGAGCTTTAGCATTAATGGAAAAAACTACAAATGCAAGACTGATGTTAGAGAAGGATAAGTTACCAAAATATTTGATATACATGGTTCATATTTCTTCTTTTCTACTTCTAAATATGAAAATTCAGTCAAATAAAGAAACTAAATCCTATGCAAAACTTAGAAAATATGAGGAAGAAGAACTCCGAAAATATGAGGAAGAAGGAATATATTTCTGTTATATTCAAAACTTCTTATCTTACACCACCAACACCACTATCATATTCTATACATATCACTATCTACCACCAACACCACTATCATATTCTATACATATCACTATCTACCACCAACACCACTATCATATTCTATACATATCACTATCTACCACCAACACCACTATCATATTCTATACATATCACTATCTACCACCAACACCACTATCATATTCTATACATATCACTATCTACCACCAACACCACTATCATATTCTATACATGCCACTATCCTTCACCAACACCACTATCATATTATATACATTATCACAAATTTCTAGCACTCCCCCTCAAGCTGGTTTGAAGATATCTTCCATAGCCAGCTTGCTAGTCAGCTTATCAAACTGCTTCTTGTGTAGTCCCTTTGTTAGCACATCAGCTAATTGTTCACCTGTTGGAAGGTAGGTCATACAGATTATGCCAGCATTGATTTTCCTATACATGCCATTATCTACCACCAACACCACTATCATATTCTATACATGCCATTATCTACCACCAACACCACTATCATATTCTATACATGCCATTATCTACCACCAACACCACTATCATATTCTATACATGCCATTATCTACCACCAACACCACTATCATATTCTATACATGCCATTATCTACCACCAACACCACTATCATATTCTATACATGCCATTATCTACCACCAACACCACTATCATATTCTATACATGCCATTATCTACCACCAACACCACTATCATATTCTATACATGCCATTATCTACCACCAACACCACTATCATATTCTATACATGCCATTATCTACCACCAACACCACTATCATATTCTATACATGCCATTATCTACCACCAACACCACTATCATATTCTATACATGCCATTATCTACCACCAACACCACTATCATATTCTATACATGCCATTATCTACCACCAACACCACTATCATATTCTATACATGCCATTATCTACCACCAACACCACTATCATATTCTATACATGCCATTATCTACCACCAACACCACTATCATATTCTATACATGCCATTATCTACCACCAACACCACTATCATATTCTATACATGCCATTATCTACCACCAACACCACTATCATATTCTATACATGCCATTATCTACCACCAACACCACTATCATATTCTATACATGCCATTATCTACCACCAACACCACTATCATATTCTATACATGCCATTATCTACCACCAACACCACTATCATATTCTATACATGCCATTATCTACCACCAACACCACTATCATATTCTATACATGCCATTATCTACCACCAACACCACTATCATATTCTATACATGCCATTATCTACCACCAACACCACTATCATATTCTATACATGCCATTATCTACCACCAACACCACTATCATATTCTATACATGCCATTATCTACCACCAACACCACTATCATATTCTATACATGCCATTATCTACCACCAACACCACTATCATATTCTATACATGCCATTATCTACCACCAACACCACTATCATATTCTATACATGCCATTATCTACCACCAACACCACTATCATATTCTATACATGCCATTATCTACCACCAACACCACTATCATATTCTATACATGCCATTATCTACCACCAACACCACTATCATATTCTATACATGCCATTATCTACCACCAACACCACTATCATATTCTATACATGCCATTATCTACCACCAACACCACTATCATATTCTATACATGCCATTATCTACCACCAACACCACTATCATATTCTATACATGCCATTATCTACCACCAACACCACTATCATATTCTATACATGCCATTATCTACCACCAACACCACTATCATATTCTATACATGCCATTATCTACCACCAACACCACTATCATATTCTATACATGCCATTATCTACCACCAACACCACTATCATATTCTATACATGCCATTATCTACCACCAACACCACTATCATATTCTATACATGCCATTATCTACCACCAACACCACTATCATATTCTATACATGCCATTATCTACCACCAACACCACTATCATATTCTATACATGCCATTATCTACCACCAACACCACTATCATATTCTATACATGCCATTATCTACCACCAACACCACTATCATATTCTATACATGCCATTATCTACCACCAACACCACTATCATATTCTATACATGCCATTATCTACCACCAACACCACTATCATATTCTATACATGCCATTATCTACCACCAACACCACTATCATATTCTATACATGCCATTATCTACCACCAACACCACTATCATATTCTATACATGCCATTATCTACCACCAACACCACTATCATATTCTATACATGCCATTATCTACCACCAACACCACTATCATATTCTATACATGCCATTATCTACCACCAACACCACTATCATATTCTATACATGCCATTATCTACCACCAACACCACTATCATATTCTATACATGCCATTATCTACCACCAACACCACTATCATATTCTATACATGCCATTATCTACCACCAACACCACTATCATATTCTATACATGCCATTATCTACCACCAACACCACTATCATATTCTATACATGCCATTATCTACCACCAACACCACTATCATATTCTATACATGCCATTATCTACCACCAACACCACTATCATATTCTATACATGCCATTATCTACCACCAACACCACTATCATATTCTATACATGCCATTATCTACCACCAACACCACTATCATATTCTATACATGCCATTATCTACCACCAACACCACTATCATATTCTATACATGCCATTATCTACCACCAACACCACTATCATATTCTATACATGCCATTATCTACCACCAACACCACTATCATATTCTATACATGCCATTATCTACCACCAACACCACTATCATATTCTATACATGCCATTATCTACCACCAACACCACTATCATATTCTATACATGCCATTATCTACCACCAACACCACTATCATATTCTATACATGCCATTATCTACCACCAACACCACTATCATATTCTATACATGCCATTATCTACCACCAACACCACTATCATATTCTATACATGCCATTATCTACCACCAACACCACTATCATATTCTATACATGCCATTATCTACCACCAACACCACTATCATATTCTATACATGCCATTATCTACCACCAACACCACTATCATATTCTATACATGCCATTATCTACCACCAACACCACTATCATATTCTATACATGCCATTATCTACCACCAACACCACTATCATATTCTATACATGCCATTATCTACCACCAACACCACTATCATATTCTATACATGCCATTATCTACCACCAACACCACTATCATATTCTATACATGCCATTATCTACCACCAACACCACTATCATATTCTATACATGCCATTATCTACCACCAACACCACTATCATATTCTATACATGCCATTATCTACCACCAACACCACTATCATATTCTATACATGCCATTATCTACCACCAACACCACTATCATATTCTATACATGCCATTATCTACCACCAACACCACTATCATATTCTATACATGCCATTATCTACCACCAACACCACTATCATATTCTATACATGCCATTATCTACCACCAACACCACTATCATATTCTATACATGCCATTATCTACCACCAACACCACTATCATATTCTATACATGCCATTATCTACCACCAACACCACTATCATATTCTATACATGCCATTATCTACCACCAACACCACTATCATATTCTATACATGCCATTATCTACCACCAACACCACTATCATATTCTATACATGCCATTATCTACCACCAACACCACTATCATATTCTATACATGCCATTATCTACCACCAACACCACTATCATATTCTATACATGCCATTATCTACCACCAACACCACTATCATATTCTATACATGCCATTATCTACCACCAACACCACTATCATATTCTATACATGCCATTATCTACCACCAACACCACTATCATATTCTATACATGCCATTATCTACCACCAACACCACTATCATATTCTATACATGCCATTATCTACCACCAACACCACTATCATATTCTATACATGCCATTATCTACCACCAACACCACTATCATATTCTATACATGCCATTATCTACCACCAACACCACTATCATATTCTATACATGCCATTATCTACCACCAACACCACTATCATATTCTATACATGCCATTATCTACCACCAACACCACTATCATATTCTATACATGCCATTATCTACCACCAACACCACTATCATATTCTATACATGCCATTATCTACCACCAACACCACTATCATATTCTATACATGCCATTATCTACCACCAACACCACTATCATATTCTATACATGCCATTATCTACCACCAACACCACTATCATATTCTATACATGCCATTATCTACCACCAACACCACTATCATATTCTATACATGCCATTATCTACCACCAACACCACTATCATATTCTATACATGCCATTATCTACCACCAACACCACTATCATATTCTATACATGCCATTATCTACCACCAACACCACTATCATATTCTATACATGCCATTATCTACCACCAACACCACTATCATATTCTATACATGCCATTATCTACCACCAACACCACTATCATATTCTATACATGCCATTATCTACCACCAACACCACTATCATATTCTATACATGCCATTATCTACCACCAACACCACTATCATATTCTATACATGCCATTATCTACCACCAACACCACTATCATATTCTATACATGCCATTATCTACCACCAACACCACTATCATATTCTATACATGCCACTATCCTTCACTAACACCACTATCATATTATATACATGCCACTATCTACCACCAACACCACTATCATATTCTATACATGCCACTATCCTTCACCAACACCACTATCACATTATATACATTATCACAAATTTCCAGCAGCAAAGAATCATGCCAATCTCAAATCATACCTAAGGGAGTAATGTAGGAAAATTAGTTAGAAGTTTTCTCTTGTTAAGATTTCGAAAGTCAGTGTAGCAGCAACAACAGGGTCTAAAAATTCACTGCAATCAAACATTGGAAGAGTGATTTTCAAATATTGGAAGAGTGATTTTCAAATATGATTTATCATATGATATGCATAAATAGAGAATAATTGTTAGATGAAATCATAATTTCATTTTTTCCCCACAAATAAACTATTGTGAAAGGACTACAAACTAAACCATCTTTACCGGCTCAAACATGAATGAATGAAGGTCCTCCTACTGGGATCAGCATCATGTAGAACCACCTCTCCAAAATAAAGAAAAAATAAACGAATTTCCTGAGTAAAACTGTAGAATAAAAGAACAATGCTTACATTAGCACATATGTAAGCAGAATGATGAGGGGAAGAACTAGGAGAGAGGTAAATATCAAGCACCAAAAATACTTCAACATTCCAAATAAATAGTAATTACAAGTTAATAACACCTGCAATAAATTTATGGTCATTTTTTTCCATGTTTTGTTTGGTTCTGTTTTGAATGAGAACCATCATGGCTCAAGCTTTGACAGTTTCTTAAGCTAGACAAGGTCTCTTCTTTTTTTATAACAAAACAACTAACTCATTGCAGCAAGCAAACATATAAATTCCTCTCAAAGAAAGTATTTTCTCCCCCCAACCTAAACGATGCATTGTCCTCAATGTAAAAGACAAAATCACAAAGGTTATGAGATTACCTTAAATAATGAACCATGTCTATATATATATATATATATTTTTTTTTTGAGCGTCAACAAAAAATTTATTAAAAAAGAAAAGATGAATCATGAACCTACAAGGGATTATTGCCAAAAACACAAGGGAAAAAAATTACAAACGAAAAACTAACGACTCCTAAAAGTAACAATGCTTTTATTATTATGTTTCTGGGTTTCAATAAATAGGGCCTTTTAATTCAATGGACTCCTCTCCTCTTCAGGTGGGAAATTCTCCAAAACTGGTTTAAGACGTTGGCCAGTCACTTTAAAAACATTACCATTCCTGGGATTTTCAATCTCAACGGCCCCATGAGAAAAAACAGTTTTAACTATGAAAGGGCCGGTCCATCTAGATCTCAATTTACCAGGAAACAAATGTAGTCTAGTTTTATACAAAAGAACCTTTTTGTGAAGGCTCAACAATTCATTTGAGTACAAACAATATTAAATTAAAAACATATCATATACAATGACACAGGGAGGACAAATCAATCGACTGGGGGCCCTTTTTTCTTTCAAAACAGCACCCCTTTTCTGCTCCCTTATCTACAAAAATATGAAATCTTGCCTTTAGGCAATAGCAATATTATCTTTTATTCAATGAAAAGCTACAAACACAAGACTGTTGTGAGTAAAAAGGTATATATATTATGTAGAGGGTTAGAAAATTAAGATAAAAATTACCATCTTGTTGCGCTGAATTCGAGCAGCCCAAGCACCCTTGACAACATTGCGGTCAGATCTAGTGTTCTTGCTATTATCTAAGTCACCCAATATATATTACATAAAAGGAACAAATAAGGAACAAAAGATGAGTAGTAATTAAAAGGAAAAATAAATAAATATTTGAAGAGCAAAATCAAAATACAAAAAGACCGGAGGTACAATGAAATCTTGTCTAACCTTTGAGAGAAGTTTTGTGGATGCTATGAGATGATTTCAAAGCAAACCGAGTCTTATGGGCCTGGTTGAGCAATTTATATTGTTGATGGCTCAAATGTAGTTTTTCTAAAAATTTAAATTAAATACATTAAATCACAATTAAATATAAATTGAGAGAATGAATATAATATCCAAAATTCCTAGAATAACTACGTAATTTTAAGCATTCATCACACCTCCCAACCAGCTTTAATTTTAGAACCTAGCAATTAAGGCGACTAAAATAAAATCAAAAAGAAAAATAAAAGCAACTACTCTAAACCACTTCCGCAAGAAATCACGATTGAATTTAGCACATGCAACAAGCCCTTAATCCAATAGATTACCCCTCATGGACGAGTTAAAGTCTCGTGTTTCCAAAGATGTTACCCACAAACATCCAAAAATTTCTTTACTAAAACGACTTCTTTCATTCTCATGCCAAGGTTAAAGAACCAGACATGAATTTCACAACCTTAACAAGACAACCAATCAAAGTTCAAGACACTAGCAGCAAGTAAAGAAATCTCATGACATTCAGAATTTGGCGTGTGTGAAAAAGTTTAGCCAACACATACACAACCTTAGCCTTAAAGTGAAATATAACCCAAATCTCTTTCTGAAACATGCTTCGACTCAAATCTCACCAGTTATTGCACTCAACAAATAAATCACTCGGAATATGGTGCAAAAATTGCTCTCAATATATGCGAGTAGAACAATGTAAATCAAAGCTAAAATAATCCCGCATACTAATTTTTTTGAAAAACGCTAATATGAAAAAATAAATAAATAGTCTCATGAATGGAATATCAAATACTAAGAATTAAAATTACCACACCATCACCCCAATCCATCATGTCCACTTGTAAACTATACCACACTCAAGATCAAATAGGACTTTTATTTGGTTGTAATGCTTGGGTTGAGGAATTACGAAAAAATAATAAAAAGCCAAAGGTGAATAAAAAAAAGGACGTCTCAGAGACAATTGGCATAAAAATAAACACAATTAGAGCATTATTCCAAATGCCTTGCTCTTTCTATTAC